ACAGAACCGGAGAAAACAATCAAAAATTCCTTCAATAAACACAAACAAAAACAACCCCCTAATAAATTATCTAAGGTCCCTCACTTCGAAATATAAACGAAAGAGAAAAACGAACACAAATTTCGAGGTTCCAACAACGCGCGAACGGATCGGGACGAGTCCACACAAACACACACACGAGTCGCGACGAAAACATCTCGTGGCTGTAAGGAAATTTTCATTTCCTTTTCGTTATTTTGACACAAGGAAGGGACGGAGAGCACGCAGTCTCTCGGGGAAGAACGAGAAGCATTCCAGACTCTCGGCGAAAGAGATTAAAAGGAGGTCACGCAGCAGGAGAAGAGAAGAGAGAGAAAAGCAAGACAGCACCATGGGCCGCAGACACAGACACGTGCAGTATGAGAAGTACGAGAAGGAGGAGAATAATAAAAAGAAGAGGAAGAGGAAGAATGACGACTCGGACTCAGACTCAGAGGATGATGGCGACTCAGACATGGACTCCGACGTTTCTGATGAGAAGTTCCCGACCCTCACGAAGAAGGAGAAGAAAATGGCAAAGGATATTCTCTCTCGGCCTGTCCAGGTGGGTCTTGGGGCTCAGGCTTAGGGTAACTGTGGGATTCAGGGCAAAGGGTTGGGCGGTCCTGTTAAAAAGCACTGTGTAGTTGATTCTCATAGAGTTGGTGTCATTGGATATCTTGCGACATATTTACTCATTTTGCAGTAGTGTTGTGTTTGCGCTCTGAAGATCATTTTCATTAATTTTCTGGAATACGTCCGCCAAAGGGATTGTGGTGTTTTCAGTATCATAGGATTCCACTCACTGTCTACAATGCAAATATGTAGGGTTTATTGTACAGAAACCCCCCCCAACCCCCACATTCTTGGCCCCGATAGTAGGGGAGTGCATGATAGGTATTAGGGAAATTGCGGGGTAAAATGTAAATGTTATGAACCATATTCATGTTGACATGTGGAAAAGGTATGAATGAGACTGGATATCTTTACAATACAGGAGATGTATTTGACCGGTTTCGATTACGTCTTCATCAGAAATACATGTATTTCTGATGAAGACGTAATCGAATCCAGTCAAATACATCTCATGTATTATTAAGATATCCAGTCACATTCATACCTTTTCTGTATATGTTATACAGAGAATCAGTCACTATATTGTCTAAATCCCACCAAGGTAAACAAAGAATCCTCCACATATAGATGTCAGGCGTGAGTGTGTGACTGCCATGCGGGAGTGGCATTGCCAAGTCTGTGCAGTGCTCTTTCCTTCCGTGAATACGTGGAGGATTCCTGTTTTCCAGGGTGGGGGTTGGGGGGCAATAGGCCCCCATGGGAGGGTTTCAGGAGGCTGTGCCCCCTGCATTAGACAATATAGTGATTGATTCTGTGTTTATCATTTTCATTTTACCCCACAGTTTCTCTGGTACCTTTCATGCCTTCCCTTGCTATTGGGCCAAGAATGTGGGGGGTTTGGGGGGTTTCAGCACAGTCATTTCTATATATTTGGAAAGTAGATGGTTAGAGGAATGCAACGATAAATTGTTGCTATCCTTTGGTGGATGTATTCCAGAAAATTACCTAATTTTCTAAGTCTCAGTTGCACTTCGTGGATATCAAATCATAATAATAGTTGATGGTCTTTGCACCTTCACAGCCATCTCGCACCTTCAGTAACAAAAATTTTTCATCCCAAATGATGCTGAAATAAAATTGCACTCTTGCACTTGGAAGAAATTTCAAGAGCAACACAAACTTAGCTGTCTTGCCAGTGGGTAAAGTATAGGGGATAACGCATGCAATATTTTAATGTAAATGATATATTCTCATTCTCATTCTATAAGGTGTAATTAACTACATTAAAGTAATAATAAAATTAATGCAATTACATAGTGTGCTTATGATAAGCTTATGATTTATATGTCACATTAAATTAAGTTTTCAGAGCAGCTTCCAGTATTTACAGGCATATAGTTAAAGCCCCAAGGTTAGGTGGGTTTTTGGATGAAACAGTGATCTTTGTGGTAGATTGTGCATTTTGAATGGGGTTCATTCATTGAGTTATGGCCTAAGTCTCTGAAGGATTGAGTCGTGTTGGAAACACATTATCAAAGGATTGCTCTGTTCTGGCCTTTTGCCAGTCAGCATTCTGTCAATGGCCTACAGCCCTCAGCTTGGTTCTAGGAAGCTACATCCCACAGTGTTAGTCAAGGATCAAGTGTTGTCACATATCTGCATGACAGTCGTTTCAGGTTATCCACACTAATGCGTCTGTGGCCCTACCCCTCTCTCTACCCCACCTGCAACCTTCGTCCCTTTTGCTTGGCATTTGGAGGCATAGAGTATGCCAAGTATTGCATTGTCTTTTCTCAGGATCAGTTTCCACTCATAAAAGTGCTAAGCATATACTGCCTATTAAGAAATTATTAACTGAAAACCAAAATTCCTTTAAGTATTTGGTATGATTTTGTATTTTATTAAT